TATAATGTAAGTATATATATGATTTGTGATATGAATTGTTATATGTGTGTTATGAGTGATTGCATCTGTGATAAGAATGAATTATAAGATATATGATAATATCATAAGAGATTATACGAACAAGAGATAAGAAATATAATAATAACAAGGTAGAAATATGATAGAAACATAAATGATGACATGTATGTATGTATGTACTTGCTGGATGACAAGTATATGAGTTGCATGGTTATGATAGTATAAATTATTCATGTATGTACTTGCTGGATGAAAAGTATATGAGTTGCATGGTTATGATAGCATAAATTATTCATGCATGGTTAGTGTGTGTAAATTATATTAGATGAGTTTTTATGCCTCACTAAGTCATAGACTTAGCGTGTGATTGTTTCACACGTAGGTTCCGAAGAGCGAGAAGAGAAGCTAAGAGGAGTAAGACAGGTCAGCATCTCCCTTACAAAGTTCAGATCAGAAAAGAAATGTTCGATATATAATTTATTCTTTTAGATATAGTTGGCATGTAATATAAATGATTTGAATAATATATGCTCTGATAAGTTTGTAAACTCTTATGAGGAAATAATATGAAGTTTTCTTTAATGGGGAAATTTTCATTATTTTGAACAAGTAAAGGTTTTAAAAGTTGATGTGACACCTCGGACTCGGATCCGGGTCGGATACGGGTTGGGGGTGTTACAATAAGAATTTCATAAACGTAAGAATTCTGAAGATATGGTACTAAACAGTAGGTACATGCATGACCTAGATCAATTGCTACCTACTTAAGGCTTTATTTACTGCACTATCACTGAAGTAGGGTCTCACGCTTCCCTTAATCCTCTGCTAAGGGTCTCGCCATGAGATTACCTTTAAAGGGTCTCTAACCCTAATGACAGAACATGATACACATTATCTAAATGCGAAACTAATACTCCAATGTATCATCTGAATGCAAACCTGACATGTTGTGCATTATCTGAATCCAAACCTGACATGCTGCACATTTATGAATGCAAACCTGACATATTATGCATTATCTGAATGCAAAGCTGACTAGTATCTGGTCTCACATAGCTATCAGACACTAATTACTGAAGGACGGTGTTACATAACATCGATGTAATTCCCACTAACATACAAAATAATCTCCTGGTCCTCACATAGCCATCAAGTAGATCACTGAGGGGGAACCTAATGTCATATAACATCATTATAATTCCAGCACAAACTGAAACATTGACTCATTCTCATATAGCCTTCAAGCCAAGCTTTTACATATCTGACATATTGAACTGATGGGACTATACATGCATGACTGACACAACATGAGGTAGGTCTAGTGGTGTGGTGATAGGAATTTCACATGCATCTCAGGACAACACCCTAGCCTACCCTGCATACTCAAAAGCCTCGGGGTAAAAACCATAATTTATGTTCATCAAAAGCATACTTAACTGAATTGAACTGATATAACTACCCATGCATATCTAAGGCCCACATGCCACATAACACTAACATCGCTAACCCACTCATCGTGAGTGTTTGAGCCTCGCATCCTATTTAGCCCCTGAAGTGTCTCACGCACTGGTAATGCACCACTAGGGAAACTAAGGTATCCTGGGTATACCTTAACATACATAGACTCACTAAAGTGAAGTCAACATCATACTAGTTATTATCTCGCTCGTTATCTCATTTAGAACGTTATGCAAATACTTTCTTATTAATTATGGAGCTAGTTAGCTCGAATTTTGGCTCGGGTTTATTTCTGATACACGAAACCCTATTCGACCTTATTATATTTCCCTTCAGAACCTCTTAAACTAAAAATGGTGGCTTACTCTTCCTGAGTTCATTGACATTCTCGAAGCGCATGTTTTTCACTACCACTAAATCTGAAATATTGATCGTACTGCTTATCGGATATCTCTTGTAATGATCCTCGGTCCCAACTATCTGTATACTTCCTTGATTGAAGATACTTCGGTGTATTACACTTAATATGGTTCCTCTTGATGTAACCCACTCCTATGAGTGTTTTTAGGTATGCTTGGTCATTTGTACCTCACGGACTAAGTCTTACTATTACAGATAGTACTTAGCTCTTACAGGCCTTAAACGAGTTAAATCTAACCATCCGAAGTGAGTAGTATCGATACTTTACTTGCAGTATCGATACCCTAGGGTCAAGTATCGATACCTCTATGAGTATCGGTACCAAAAACATATTTTGTTGCGAAAATGGGGCCTCAGTGTTGATATTGTCACCCTGAGTATCAATACTTCTAGTTAAAATCCCTAATTTTGCCCTAATTCATCAAGTATCAATATTGTTCATCTCAGTATCGATACTTGAACCCTAAAATAGTTTATTTAGGCTAAAAAATACTCTAAAATTATCCCAAATGACTTGGTTTGGTTTCTAAACTTATTCTGAAGCTTTAGAGAGCTAATTAGGGCCATAAGGTGTCATAAAAAACACTTCCTTAACACCCAAAACGTGATTTGATCATGATTTCAAAGATGAACCCTAGCATGCTCAACTACACAAATCTTTGAAATTCTTGAAATTTATAAAAGCTTAATACTCCAAAGGATTAGAAATACACTACCTTGAAGATTGAATCTCGAAATGAAGTCCCTTTAGCTAGCAAGCACTCCCCTTTTTGAACTTGGTTGATTTTCCACCTTTTTCCTCTAGCCAACAAAGATGCTTGGATTTTTCAACAAAAGAATGTTGTAGGAAGTGTTAAAGACGAATTTTGAAGCTTAAAGGAGTGAGAAAGAACCCCAAACACTTACCTTGAGTTTTGCTCTTGCTATGGAGAAGGGAAAATGAAGGAAAAAAGACAAAATAAAAAAGAGAATATGGGAAATGAGAACCCACGTCCAAAATGGTATAAATCCCCAAATTTAACTTCAATTTTCATAAATGGTCTAATAGCTCTTTTGGTCCTTTATATTTTGTCCTTTATTTAAAAAATCTTTTTTTTTTGGCTAATTGGGTCCCAAATCCAACCCAATTAACCCCAACAATTTAATTTATAAATTTCATGAGGTCCACTTATCTCTTAGGTAAACCCGAAACTACTAGCCTATAATTTGGGGTGTTACAACGTGAATGATGATTTATTGCACAACACCCCAATAATTACAAGAAGCATCGTTGGAAAAGCAGTGTTGGACATGTTCATAATTTTTCATGAGCTTCCAATGAAAAGAAATCCAAAAGAAAAAGCACAAACATTGAGGGATGAGAAGAGACTAAATAAATTTCCAAGCAGCGTTGATATCATCCCAATTTTCAGCACAAATATTAGTATAGACAGATTTGAGGTCAAAGCTATGGTTGTGAGACCATCGACAAGCAATAGCATCTTCGATGTCAGTTGCATTAGGAGCCTTGATGCTGAGAATATGACTGAGAGCATAGTGTAACCAAAGAAGATAAGACCTCTTCGTTCCACAAGCCATTCAACAAGGTTGTAGAAGATACATACAAGCTATCATCAATATGTCATGGGTTGATTGCGTGGAGGCGCAACAAACCAATGGAGGGGACCCATACATCATCCCAAAATCTGATATTCGATCCATTTCAAAGAGACCAAAAGAGATGTGGTAAAAATGAAGGCCATGCATTGAATAAACCTCACCACATGGGGGAACAAACCTTGCGAGAGATCGAGTGGGGGCATGATTCCATGACATTGTATTTATGGTGGAAGACTTGGATCTAGTAGGTGTCAGTCTTCGTAATAATGACATCCAATTTTCATAAAAACGCCATATTATGCTCGTGGGTACGGATTTTGCCAAGGCCTCCGCGATCACGGGGTTGGCATAACGCCTCCAAGTGGACTAGCGAGATCTATTATCGGCATTAGATGAACCCCAAATAAATCGACGGATGTATTTCTCAATGCCGTTACAAACTCATTTCAGAAGAACCATTGTTTACATAAAATACATCGGAATCGCAACAAAAACGGTCTTAGCAAGCGTTATGCGGCCATCAATAGATAGCGATCGAGCTGCCCAACCAGATAGCTTATTATTTATCATGTCCGTAATGAACGAGTAATCCGATTAATATGGGTGCCTATGAAAAACATGCACTCCAACGTGAAATAAATAAATAATTAAGAAAATATTTTCCATCGATATAGTGACATGTGTAACTATGTAATTGGAGATTAAATTTTATTTTAATTAGATTAAATTATGATCAAATTGATAGAATATATAAATATTAAGGACCAAACATGCAATTACATCAATATTTTTAACTGTCGCGTCTCCTCCTCTGTTAAAAGTTAACAGACAATGGCTTGATTGAGCAATCTAAATAACTGGGTGGTCTGATTAATTAAATTAAAACATCAGTGGTCAAAGTGAATTTTTTGCAATAGTTAAGTCTCACCAATATTGTTTACCCAAAATTAAATTCAACGTTAAAGTTATCAATAAAAAAGAAAGGGTAACCGTGTAGTATCCCAACTATTATTTATATTTCATTTTAGCCTCTAACTATTATTTTTTTCAAAATCATATAATATTATGTTTTAGTTTTATTTTGGTCACACATTGTTAAAAATTTAACAAAATTTATGACATGACATTTTGAAAATTTTTGTAATGATGATATAACATTACCTTATGACGACATATTAATATCATTGTTACTTTTTTAATAATTGGTGACGAAAAGGAAACTAAAACGTAATAGTAGATATGATTTTGAAACAATAAATAACGGAGTGACCAAAATGGAACATAAGTGAAAGTGGGGATACTAAATCTGTATTTTACCCAAAAGGAAAGAAAAAGAATACACAGAAACACTATAGCAAGAATTGTCGCTTTGTCCATTTGAGAACGATCATTTATCTACTTTTTTAAGTTTTTGTTCATTCATCCTTTCTTTCTGAGATGAAAAGCCGAACACGCAACGTATATGTCCTTATCCAAAAGCATAACGAGCTCCTACTTTGTCATCATTATCTTCCAACCCTCCCATAACTCGAACGGAAAATGATCATGTCAATGGATTCCACCAAAGCTCAACGTCGACTTAATACCATACAAGGGCACCTTGTTTCCGCCGTCAGCTCCGCCGTTTCTCATTACGACCTCCGTTCTTGCCCAACCGCAGCCGAGTTCGTCTGCGGTACGTTTATACATGTATATGTGATTGAGAAGAACAAAGGTGTATAGGCTTGGACTGGTTACTCTGTTTTGTTTTCAAGGTTTTTTGGGTTAATATCCTTCCATGAAAAAATGATACCTTTTTATGGTACTATAAATATATATATATTTTTTTATCTGGGTTTTCGGTTTTGATTGAAAATGTTTCTTATTATGCTGTAGAAAATGGGAATTATGCATAAGAAGCATAAATCCATCAAGCATTTTCTGTTGGCTTTAATTGTCTGTCAATTATATTGTATATAGTTGATATTTTATATGTGTTTAACTAACATATGTTGATATTGAAAACTTATGTTTGAGCAGAACAGAAATACAGTGTTGTGTTGCCAGAGAAACTGCAAACAGGAAAATGGAATGTATACAGGTAACACTGATCTGCTACTATCCTTGGTATATTTTGTCTCTGCATTGTCCCTTCCTTACTTTTATGCCTTATGATAGATCTGCTCGCTCACCGTTGAAGCTCGTAAATCAGTTTCCCGATCATCCCGACATCGGTACATTGCATGAAAATTTTGTGTAAGCATCTGGTTTTTGTCCAATGTATCAATGCTTTATCATCTTTTTTCATTTGGAAGTACTTTGGATGGTTACTTCAATTATTGGTATTTTTTATTTTATTCAGACATGCCGTTGAGTCCTATGGAGATTACAGATATCTCGGAACAAGAACTCGAGTTGATGGAACTGTTGGAGAGTAAGTTTCTTATTGAAAAAATCAAGGTCACAGTTCATTGCCAAAGTTCATTCATTTGCTATCAATTTTTATGTTCTATTCATCAAGTTACAAGTGGATGACATACAAAGAAGCTGCTACAGCTCGGACAGCTATTGGATGCGGCCTAATACATCATGGGATACTAAAGGTGGAGAAGCACTTCAGTAGTAATTATATATTTGTTATTACTTGATGCTGCATGGTCGGCAATAAGTTTCTTGCCTGGTGAACATACTCAGTAGTAATTATATATTTGTTATTACTTGATGCTGCGTGGTCTGCAATAAGTTTCTTGCCTGGTGAACGTACTTGCGTGGCTTTTTCGATCCGTCTCCTCACTTTTCTTAAAGTACCTTTATCCGGCTCTAACACTCTCGAGTCTTGCTTTTATAATGACAGGGCTCTTGCGTTGGATTATATTTCATCAATAGACCAGAGTGGCTCATTGTTGATCATGCCTGTGCTGCATATTCCCTTATATCAGTTCCTTTATATGACACTCTAGGTTTGCCACTACCCCGAATGCTCTCCTTTTCGATTGAATGCTCGTCCTACTCGGCTTATAGCTAAGGTGCTATTTTGAAAATTATGTTTTACTGCAGGTCCGGATTCTGTCAAGTACATCATTAATCATGCAGATCTAAAAGCTGTATTTTGCATGCCTCAAACTTTGAATTCTGTGAGTTTAGGCTTTCAATGGTGCATATATATATATATATATATAGGGAATTATGTTCCGGTTTCCATTTTGACAAACTGATTCTTTGTGAATAACTTTTATACTGTCTTAATATTAATTCATTTTCCCCCTTGGAATTTGCAGTTGTTGAGCATCTTGTCCGAGATTCCATCCCTTCGTTTGATTGTGGTATAAAACATGCCAAAATTAACTTTCTTAGTTTTTCCATCTCTTCACTTGATTGTTCGGAGGCACTTCTCACCTCCTAATCAGGGGGTTGACCTCGTTTTAATGATCGAAGTCTCATATGGTCTTCAATGTGCCGGAGGACGTTCGGACCTCATGGGTCCAACAAAAGTAGATACTGATCTGCCATTTTCTCTGGAGTAAAATAATCCGCTTCTTTAATCTGCAGGTAGTTGGAGGAATGGAAAATGAAGTGCCTTCATTGCCATCATCAACTAGCATTCAGGTTGTCACATATTCACAATTATTAAGTCAGGTAATGAAATAAGATCCTAAAAGCCCTATAAATATGCAGAAAAAGAACTTCAGCCATTGCTTAATACTGTGTGGTATAATTGTTTTCCATTGGAATGGTTCGACTAGGGCCATAGTAACCTTCGGCCATTTTGCCAACCGAAACCAGACGACATAGCTACCATTTGCTACACTAGTGGTACAACTGGAACACCAAAGGTATTATTAGCTTTCCCCTGTGAATTTCAACAGATCTTATCTAGGTAACCATGAAGCTTTACTTAAAGGGCTTACCGTTCGATCTAAGAGGCGACGATATTAACTAAAAGAGGAGTTTGTTTCATTCACCTGCTAATACGATTCATAACCTTTTGGCAAGGGAGTTGTGTTGACACATGGGAACTTGATTGCAAGTGCAGCTGGATTCACCATTTCAGTAAAATTCAACACCTCAGACGTGTACGTTGTATTGGTTTCAAATGATGTTTTACACATTCATTCAGTTGGCCTGAAATATTTGTATATGGTTTCTTCTTCAGTTACATATCGTATCTCCCTTTGGCACACATTTTTGAGCGGTTTACTCTGATCAATTTGGCTCATTTTGGGGTCGCAGTTGGATTCTACCAGGGGGTATGTATGTCAGACACTAAACTCTCGGGCTTCCTACTCTGCTATAATGCTAAAATGCTATGTTGGTGTTTCTGTTTAAAATATTTTTATTTTCTATAAATTTTAATAGTGTTATTTATTTTTTAGGTATAATGTCAAAAAAGTCCCTAACATTTGACTAGATAGTCACTTTTATCCCTACCCTTTTTTCTGGAGCATTTTGGCCCCAACATTTTATTTTCGGACCTATGTGGATGGAAACCATTAGTTAACAAACGGTTAACGCTCCAAAATATGAGCCTTGTTACTCTAAAATGAAATGTTGAGGGCCAAAATGATCCAAAAAATAAAAAGGGCCACATTGATCATTTAGTCAAAAATTAGGTCTTATTATCCTAAAATGAGACGTTAGGGGCTGAAATGTTCCAAAAAAAATAGAGATCAAAATGATCATTTTAATAAATATTAGGGGCTAATTTCGACATTGTAACTTATTCTTAATATATTTTTATGTTTGATGTTATAGTTTAATTATTTTTATATTATTACATAATGTGCAACTTTACTGAGAAATTGAATGACATGGTGTTGGAATGCAGGATACCATGAAATTAATGGATGACATGGCTGCTCTACGGCCCACTGTATTCTGCAGTGTCCCTAGACTGTATAACAGAATTTATGCAGGGTACTACGTCAGATCAATACATTAGAAGTTAAGCTGCGAGAATATATATGAAAAAGGACTTTGTATGTTAGATGGATAATTTTAATATAAAATAAATATCAATACATTTTTAAAAAATAAAACCAAGTGATATAAATAGAAGAGGAATGGTTAAATATGATAATGTGTAATAGTTATTTTATCATGGTATCGGACTCTTCCTTTGTGCAGTATTCTGAACGCTGTCAAGGAATCGGGTTCTATCAGGGAGAGACTTTTTAATGCAGCCTACAACTCTAAGAAGCAAGCAATAATGAATGGTAAACACTTAGTTACATCGTTCAATTATTACTAAATGAAAATACTCCCTTAATACCATTTCAATGCATTGATACGTAAATAATTATGCATATAAACTCCTATCCAGGAAAGAGTCCTTCTCCTATATGGGACAGATTGGTGTTCAACAAAATAAGGGCCCGACTTGGAGGACGTGTTCGTTTCATGGTTTCCGGTGCTTCACCCTTATCTTCCGATGTCATGGACTTCTTGAAGATGTAAGCTTTCTGTTTGTTTCGACGGATCGTAAAACAACGACCGTAACATCGTTTAACGGCCATCACTTAAATCATCGTGAATCTGCAGATGCTTCGGTGGTCATGTGATCGAAGGGTATGGAATGACGGAGACATCATGTGTCATAAGCGTCATGGAAGAGGGCGACATTCTTTCTGGCCATGTTGGTTCTCCTAACCCCGCTTGTGGTGAGTTGTTACACTTGTAATTTACAAGACTAACTAACAACGAAGCTTGGACTATTCTTGTAGTTCTAACTTTTTTATTTCAGAAATAAAGCTTGTGGACGTCCCCGAAATGAACTACACATCAGATGATCAGCCTTATCCTCGAGGAGAAATCTGTGTTAGGGGTCCAATTGTTTTCCAAGGATATTACAAAGATGAAATGCAAACGTAGGCTTCACACATATGGCTCCGTATTCCATTGCTTTCTTTTCTTGTTCTTGTGAAAATCGAAACCATTGTAAGCCGTATATCGAATGTGTCCTAAAATGTGTTAAGTTTTGACAGGAGAGAAGTAATTGATCAAGATGGATGGCTTCATACAGGAGATATAGGGCTATGGTTCACCGGAGGTCGTTTAAAGATTATTGATCGGTAAGATCTAAAATCATGTGGTCGTTACCAATGATAAGAAATTCGATATCTTTTAAATAAGATTTTGGTCTCTAATCTTGTGAATAGAAAATCAGGTACTAAAAGATCGAAAATGTGTGTGTGGGTACAGGAAGAAGAACATTTTTAAGCTGGCTCAGGGAGAGTACATAGCACCAGAAAAGATTGAAAATGTATACTCTAAATGCAAATTTGTAGCCCAGTGTTTTATATACGGTAAGATAATGATGTTTGTAATTTTGTTTATTCTCTCCTGCTGCTGACACTTATTTTGCTTTGTAGGCGACAGCTTGAATTCTTCATTGGTAGCAGTTGTCTCGGTGGACCCTGATGCTCTGAAAGCATGGGCTTCATCTCAAGGCATTCAGGTCATCTCTCTCTATATTTCACTTAATTTTACTAAAATTTAGAGCCAAGGGTATGACATGACCCAACAATAAAAGGTGACTATACATTTTACAAAAGTCATAATGTTAAAAAATGCCCCTAATATTTGGTAAAATAGTCATTTTAATCCTTTTTTTTGAATATTTATGGCTCAACATTTCATTTCAAGGTAAAAATGCTCCTAACGTTTGACTCAATAGTCCCTTTAGTCCTTATTTCTTTTGGAGCATTTTGACCCCTGACGCTTCATTGTAGGGAAAAAGGCTCTTATTTTAGAGTGTTGATTGTTTGTTGACTAATGATTTTCATCCACGGAAGGGTTTTTTTTTTGCCTCAAAATAAAATGTTAGGGGCCAAAATACTTTAGAAAAAAGGAATTAAAATGACTATTTAATGAAACGTGAAAGATTTTTTGTTATTATGCTTTTATAGAAGTGGTTGTTACTAAAATGATCATAGGTTAGATGCTTATAGATGCAAGGATTTGAGACCATCACATAAAAATAGCAGCATGAACTAATTAATCTAAGCTTGTGCTCGAGTTGATAATTGATAGTGCCATGTTCTTCTTCACTAAAACCTCACATTCCCTTTTCCCATTATCACTGCCTGCTAATTGTTATAAGCCGATGAAAAAGTGCAGTACAAAGATTTAGAAGAGTTGTGCAATGACCCAAGAGCAAGGGCGGCTGTCCAGGCTGAGATGGATGCTGTCGGAAGAGAAGCTCAGGCAAAATACTCGTCCATTAACACTTTGTTTACTACAATTTGTCTCCATTTCCTTCTTCATTAACCCTTGAGTCTTGGATTTCTCCGTTGTCGAACAGTTGAGAGGCTTTGAATTTGCGAAATCGGTGACGTTGGTACTCGAACCATTTACAATGGAGAATGGTCTACTGACTCCTACATTCAAGGCAAGCAAAAGCAATTTCATACACATGGATTAATGTTAACATGAGGCATCCTCATCTCTTGTAAACTTTTGTTGGCAGATAAAGAGACCTCAAGCAAAGGAGTATTTTGCAAAAGCAATTTCAAACATGTATGCAGAGCTGAATGCATCTGATCCATCTCCTCTTAAGTAAGTTCTGAAAATTCAGTCCCCATTAATGGAATCCTCAACACTTATCAGTATTGTTTGTATTTGACCTCAACACTTGTCGTCCCCGATATGCTATTCTGATGGGTATAGCCATCTTTTTTATTCTACCAATCTAGTTGCTGATCATATATTCTTATCTTGCAAGTTTTATCGAAGATCTTGTTATGAATATATTAACCTCTTAAGATTTGCGTGATCCATTTAAGTTAAATTTATTTATATGATTTAATTATTTTTATCTCTTTATCAAAAAAATTAAAATACCAACAACCAATTGGTCTAGTGGGATGAGACATTGGATTCTTTAAACAAGATTAGAGGTTTAAATCCTGACGATTGTGAATGGAGCAAACTAAGTTGGGAGAGTCGTTTTTGTTTCTGCAGTACTCGATTCGAATTAGTTGATTAATAGATCTGATATCGTAGTTATACCAAAAAAAAGTTTTATCTTTCATTGTAAATTGTATGAAGAAATCTGTTATTACGCAAAGTAATATTTAAATAATTTATCCTTCACAGGCTATATTTCATTTTCACAAAAAATAAGATGTCATTGAGAGGATGCCATTAACTCTTAATTTTATGTATACTTTCATATCTACAATCCATCTTTATCACCTATGAGTTACTTAACATATCATCCATGAACTTATTACTTTGAGACACATCAAATCTTAATATATTAAAGTCTACAATTCACAGTTCTACATTTATTTAGGATTAAGGAAAATATATTTTAAATGTCAGAGATGAATTTATTGTTTTTAACAGATTTAAAATCTTAATCCAATGTGGATCTAGTCTAATATGATGTTAGTCCAGACCGATATATAGTTATTTGGATTTTACAAAAACTGATATATAGTTATTTGCTGAGGATAATTATATGAATGGTAACAACCCGACTATTTACAAAATAATATTAATTGAAATTGGAGGTAAATTGTGAAAATGGGTGAAATTAAGTGACTAAAGTATAATTTATGAAAACTTGTATGCCATTTTCAAAGTAAAGGAAATTCAGGGAGCCCTGAATTTCCTCTAAAAGTGTCGGCAGGTTTGGTTATAACTAACGTGTTTTCTGATTTCAATCAGAAAACACAAAAGTTTTTCTTAAATTTTCACTCCTCCCGCACCTCGACTTTCAAGTCCGATTCCGACGCCGTTCGACATCCGATCGTCAAATTGAAACCACCATCGTGTTCGTTATTGAGTCAGGAACAATCCCCTTAAATTAATTGAAGCGAAACGCTGCTAAACGTTGGAAATTTCAAGTCAAAGCATCGACGTTTTTTTTAGCTCTATCGCCGAGAAAATCTCAAATTCACCGCCGATCGTTGCTCAGTTTACGACACCTCCTGCACCATCGTGTTCCTTGTGTCGTTTCGAGTTCACCGGTGTCAACCTTGTCCGCCGTAGACGGCGGCGCGTGAGGAGGTAGTGCAGTCAAAGATTCAACCGATTTGAAATCGAGCTCTCCGCCGTTCAAAAATTTGAACCGATCGTTGTAAGTATCTCGAAATCGCTCAAAATAATTTTTAGAAATTTTTTCAGGATTTTTAGGGCCCCGGAGGACGCCTCACGCGCCACACGCGCCGCCGCAGGGCGAGTGGCTGCTGGAAACCGGTTTAACCGGTTCTGACCGGTTTGACCGGTTCGAACTGGTTTGACCGGTCTGACCCGACCGACCGACCGACCCGACCCGGCCGTTGACCCGACCCGACCCGACCGTTGACCGTTGACTTTCTTTGACCAAAACTTAAAATGGCTTTGACCGAGCATTAAACGACCGTTAATCTTTTCCGAGTATACCTATCCTGATAGTTTTCGACGTGCCAAATCCGTTTACGCTGTCCGTTTTGTCAAATTCGAACCCGAAGGACTCCAAATCGACGGTCAAAGTAGTTGACTTTGACTTTGACCAAGAATCTGAATTTTCGAAAAGTCATACTTTATGTTTTTCGACGTCCTGATTCCGATTCCGCAATTCGTTTGGCCAAATTCAGACTCGAAATACCCCAAATGGATAGTCAAACCCGAAAAATGCTTATATACTTAAGAAGTCTAGTTTTGAACAATTAAATAGGATTTGGGACTGATAGATTATTATTGTTTGAAGATACAAGAGACTCTCCGGATCGTTCGACAACTCGACCCAGCTCTTCTAGATCAGTTAAACCACGTGTGCCATTATTCACGCGTTCGAAAACTGTAGCAGAGCGTGGTGAAACCAGCAATCAGTAGATTTGCTATTTGAACCTATTGTCGAGGTGTGTTCCCTACTTATTACTGAACTGTTTTATTGGTTTTAATATGTGGTACACCGAATTCATTGGTTATTGTTTTATGGATGCACCAATTTAATGTGACAATTTATGGAATATGGCTGCTATCTAATTTTTGTTTTGAAATAGTATATGATTACCATGTTTTTGGATTTATGGAATTTATGTCACGGTGCAATTGAATTTTGGAATTGAATTACGATGGAATAGCTCTGATCAAGCTAAATGGGCCTAATGTGACTCTTGAGGGCCCCAAGATGTTTCATTAGGTCGGTTTTCCTTTGCTGTGTGCTTTGGGTAAGCTATATGGACTTATTGACTTGGGCTTAAGGATACAAGCTTCAGAGCCTATCCTTAAGTCGGCTTTCTTTTTGCTATGTGCATAAAGTAAGCTATATGGAAAATAATTTTGGGAACTACTGATGGTGTACCAGAAAAGGGTTTAAACTATGATTTTCAAAAGTTAAACTCTTTTACGAATTTGTGAGATTACTGGACTATGATTTGTACCTATTGACATTTTATGGAAATGTTGGGACACACTGAGCCTAGCTCACCTTTTGAAAATGTTTTCCCCTTTCAGATACTGTTGGTTAGATACCTTGGTTCGAGCACTTGGAGGATCAACATATCTCTTGAAGTAAATCAGATTGTAATGTTTTTATCTTGCAAGTTGACTTTATTTTGGTGACATGGACCTTATTTTAAATATCGGATTTTATAATGATGACTCTTTTGCTATTACTGCTCGGTTTATTATGATTTTGAATTTGAAGACATGTTTTAAATTAAATTATTATTTATTAGTACTATATTTACGAGTTGGATTTTGATAGTATAATTTGTTTATAATTTCTTGTTATTTATAATGTGATTTTATATTGATAGAATAACGATTTCGGAAAATGTCTTTAATAATCATAATGTGATCCACTAGACTTAGTCGAAACGCATAGGCCGGGTCTAGAGGGTTACATTTATTGGTATCAGAGCTTTTGGTTTTTAACCATCGGACTGTGTATGAGTCCACATTGAAAATACAGTTTTGAAATATTTTACAAAACGAGTTACTAAGGCCTTGTATTAAGATTTTAACTATGTTCGAGACTCCAAGTGCTTATCTAACCTTAAGTTTATCTTATGTAGTAATCTCGAGATAGACCAAAATGAGTGCTAGACGTGGTCGTCGAACTAGTCGTGGACGAGGTCGAGTGGCTAGATTTGCAGATCCGATTGATGAGATACGAGTAGATCCCCCACCTCCGATAGGTGATCCTGCTCCTACGACCCCAACGAATATGCCACCTACCGATGGTATTGGCATGACTACACCGATCATATGAGCTACCGATATTGAGTTAGAGTCTACTGGAGTTACATTGGATGAGAATTTTAGTAGACAGTTTCTGCAGTTAATACAGGGAGCAGTTAGAGCTACTGGTGTTGTATCTGAGGTTCTTATTTCACAGACGTTGATTGCCAATGGAGTTAGAAATTTTGGGGGACTGATTGGTGGAGCTCCTACTGAAGCTGAGGATTGGCTCCAGGATACAGAGAGACGCATGGATCAGTTGGGTTTGGACTCAACTAAGAGATATCTGGGTGTTGTAGCAATGTTAGATGGTAATGCCTACACTTGGTGGGAGTCAGTGATCAGTAGTGTTCCTACCGATCGTTTGACCTGGAATTTCTTTAAGGATCGCTTTCGGAGTCGTTTTCTGGGAGAGCGCTACTTAGCTCAGAGACGACAACAGTTTCAAGACTTGGTTCAGGGAGACATGACTGTTTCTGAGTATGAGATCGACTTCTTGAAGTTGCTGAAGTATGGATTCAGTATGGTACCTACTGAGAGAGATCGATGTCGTAAATTTTCCCTTGGACTCACATACGAGCTGCGTAGGCAAGTTGTAACCCATCAGGATGAAATATTTGATGTGCTGGTAGGCAGAGCCAAAGATGCTGAAGAGGTGGAGGTTTTAGCTTCTGGTAGAGAGCGTGTTGATCAGGAACGATCTAAAAAATTTTCAGGCCCGATGGAGTCATCAGCACAGTCCGGGAAGAGGACTCGTACTTCAGCCCCTCAGAGAAGCAATACACGTTTCAGGCCTACAGCATCCTCACCGTTAGTTGGCAGTCGAGGCGGTTACTCGTCGTATTATAATGGGCCCCTTTGTGAGTATTGTGGTAAACAACACTCAGGAGAGTGTCGTAAGAAGATGGGTCTTTGCTATCAGTGTGGATCTAGTGGTCATTATCAGAGGGATTGTCCTCAGCTAGTTTCATTTGAGCAGACCACTACCCAAACTCCTGTGCGTTTGCAGACTACAGTACAAACCCCAATTAGAGATCGTAGTCAAGGAAAGTCTCGAGGATCAGCGTCTAGGACAGACAGTAGAGCCCGACCTCAACAAAATAGAGGGCCAACAGCTTCTGAGGCTAGACAGCCAGCTTTGGTTTATGCAACTAGACGTCGTGATGACAGAGATGAGCCTGAGGTTATTGCAGGTACATTTACTATTTATTCTACCCCATACTTTGCATTATTGGACAATGGCTCCACTCACTCCTATGTATCGAGCTCAGTATCTCGAAACCTTCAGATTCCAATCGAGAACACTGAAAATACTGTTACAGTTACAAGTCCAGTAGGACAAGCGGTATTAGTGAATAAAGTATTTCGGCGTTGTCCTCTCGAGGTTCAGGGAGAAATTTTTCTCGCTGATCTTATGGAACTTCCTTTAGGGGAGTTCGATCTAATTCTTGGAATGGATTGGTTGAATAAACACAAGGTAAGGCTGGATTGCGAATACAAGCGGGCTA